CTCTCTCTCTCTCTCTCTCTCTCTCTCTCTCTATCTCTCCACCAAGGAGTATAAAAAGCTGAGCTGTTGCGTATATCAAAATCCAGCTGCAATCAGAAACTGGCCCGAGTAATACAAGATCCAAACCGCGTGCTGCATCCACGGCCGGTGGCCCGACTCCCGCGCCACCACAAACTCCTCCGTCGCCAGTATCGAGTCCGACAGCGCAAACAGCACCCCGCCTAGAACAATGGTCCCGCTGTGCACTGTGAGCACCGCCAGCACCATGGTCAGGATCGTCGCCGTGTAGACGAGAATGGGCGCCCGCAACGCGCCCGCCACCCGCGGCATCAGCACCGCCGCCATGCCCGGCGCCAGCAGCAGCATGCCACCCGCGACGCCCTTCCGCCAGGCATCACCATCTTGCCCAATGATGATTCGCACGCCGACGCCGCCGCCGCTGCCGCTGCCGAGCCCCGCAAACAGCGCCACGTAAAACAGGTGCGCGACGAGGAAGCTGGCCAGGCCGCAGAGAAAGTTGGCCTCGCCGGGCCAGGCCAAGAAGGCGTCGCCCAGGGAGCCGAGTGCAAGGGCGGCAACGAGCGGCGAGGTGAGGCGGCCGGTGCGCAGCGCGGCGAAGCAGGCGAGCAGCAAGGTCGAGAGCGTCTTGTAGGTCATGCGCGTCTTGCTCGGGACGGCGCGGACGTGGAGGAGATAGAGCACGGCAGAGGCGACGGAGACGGCAAGAACAGCCGTCTCTGTCGGATTGTTGCCTTGAAAGCGCGTCCAGTCCATTGGGGAAAGAAAAAGGTGGTGATGCTAGGTTCGTGTCAGTTTCGGAAGACGCCGAGATGGGGGGCGGGGGGTTTGCATTACGGTATGTGGTATGTGTGTGTTGTGTGGGTCGAGTATTTGGTACGTACAAGTTGCGTTGAGAAGCACGAGTCCAATTGAACGTTCTAGGCTGGACGAAACGGCAGATAGAGGGGTGTTGAAGGAAGAAGATTGACTTGAAGCTGACAGATAATTATCACAAGAATACCGGGCCGGCCATGTCATTACTCCGCACTCCGGAAATTTACTGCACTCCGCCTGTGGAGGAGAAGCTCAAAAGTGGCTCCTCGGTATAAGTGGAAGAAGCTGCATGTTACAAGTTGCATGTGCCAATCTGTCACCAAACCTAGAACGTATCTTTTAATTTTTATTTTTTTTTAATTTTTTTTTTGTCATTTGTTGGTGGTTTCTATGCATGGTTGTATATCTGTCAACAATCTAGATAAAAAAACAAGATGCCTGCGCAACAAAATTCTGTACACTCTAGTAAGGCTGTCTACGATTAAAGAAGAAGGTACTTCAGAAGAGACAAGTAAGGAAAAAAAAGGAAGAATGGAAAATCGCTGATGCTGTATCATAGTAGTGTTGTCCACAAAGAGGGGGGGGGTTCTCATGTCAATCTAGGTGTCTAGCCCCCCAGGGATAGATTCAAACAAGATTTGCAAGAAAAATCATCGCTCTGCTTTTCTTTTTTGTGTGTGTGTGTGTGTGTGTTCATCATCTTCACAGAAGAACAACCATGGCCAGCATGGTGGTAAAGAGAAGCGATGTCACCTTGAACCCGGAGGCACCCGCAACAGTGGGAACGTTGGAGGAGGGCGCAGCAGGCTTGTTGCCGCTGACAGCTGGGGGGACGCTGCTGCTCGAAGAAGAAGTCTTGTTACTGTTGGCTGCAGGTGGCTTGCCGCTGTTGGGTGCGGGGGGGACGTTGCCGTTGGAAGCAGGGGGCTTGTCGTTGTTGGCTGAAGGAGTCTTGTTGCCGTTGGAAGCAGGAGGCTTATAGTTGTCGGCCGAAGGGGGTGCGTTGCCGTTGGAAATGGGAGGCTTGTCGTTGTTGGCTGAAGGAGTCTTGTTGCCGTTGGAAGCAGGAGGCTTATAGTTGTCGGCCGAAGGGGGTACGTTGCCGCCGGAAGTAGGAGGGATGCTGTCATGGGAAGCCGGAGGAACGCTGCCGTTGGAGCCCGGGGGTACACTGCCGTTGGAACCCGGGGGTACATTGCCGTTGGAACCAGGAGGGACACTGCCGTTGGAGCCCGGGGGTACACTGCCGTTGGAACCAGGAGGAACACTTCCGTCGGAACCAGGAGGAACACTGCCGTTGGACGCGGGAGGCTTGTCGCCGCCGGGTGTGGGAGGCTTATTGCCGCCAGGTGTGGGAGGCTTGTTACCGCCAGATGAGGGAGGTACACTGTCGCCGTTTGGAGGGGTCAGGTTCTTGTTAGCAGGAGGCACATTGCCGTTGCTGTTGGGTGCAGGAGGCAGTTCGGCAACGGCAGTCGGCGTGGCCTTGGTCTCATCGCAAGGAACAGTGACAGTCACGTAGTTTGCGCCACCAGGGCCGCACGCCGCGCAAGAAAGCACCGTGGTCGTCATAGACACCGTCATGGTAGGGAGCGGGGTCTCGGGGCAGCCGCAGTGAGCCTTGATAATGGTCGTGACAAAGACTTTGTTGACAATCCTGGAAGGGTTCGAGGGGTAGACGGTCTGGTAGGTGACGGTGGTCACGACGGTAGTGGTGGTGCTGGTGACAGTGCTGGGGGTCTGGATGGCGGCGGCGTTGCCGTTGGATTGCTGGGCGGGAATGTTGGGAATGCTGGTGACGCCCGTGCCAGCGGCCTGCTGGCCGGGAGAGCTGCCACCAGAAGACTGCTGGGCCGGAGTGCCGGCGGAAGAAGACTGCTGGGCGGGGATACCTGCACCGGATGACTGCTGAGCGGGGATACTAACGCCAGACGACTGCTGGGCCGGAATGCCCATGGAAATAGACTGCTGGGCCGGAGCACCCGCGGAAGAAGACTGCTGGGCGGGGATGCCTGCACCGGACGACTGCTGTGCGGGGATACTTGCGCCAGATGACTGCTGGGCCGCTGGCGTATCCGTGGAGAAAGAGGGCTGGGTGGAGAGGTCAGAGTTGACGCCCATGCCGGGAGGCTGCTTGGGGGGTTCCTCCTTGGCGATGGCGGCGTAGACGGTGAGCAACATGTCAGAGGCCTCGCGGCGGTCGACATGGGCGGGACGGACGTGCTTGGGCGTGGAGCGTCGGACCGGGCTATAGCGGCGACGAATGACGAGGGTCGAGTTGCCCATCGGGGCCGGGGCGGAACCGCTCACAGCGGGAGACGAAGGGCTGGTGCTGCTGCTGCCGCTGCTGATGCTGCTGCTGCTGCTGATGCTGCTGATGCTGCTGCTGCTGCTGATGCTGCTGCTAGACAGGGTGGAGTTTGTCACCTTGGGCAGGGGATAGACGGGGATGGTGACCACGGACACGGTCGGCGCGGTGCCAATGACGGTGGGCGCGGTGCCAATGACGGGCGGCGCGGTGCTGGATGGAGAGCTGATGCTGACCACGGGTGCGGTGCCGATCCGAGAGCTGGTCCGGATAACGGGTGCAGTGCCAGTCTGAGAGCTGATACTAGCCGGGGTCGGGGTCTCGGGGCTCGTAGAGTTGATCCAAGCGCCGTGCCCGTTGGTGGCAGGAGAGCCAGAGGGGCTCAAGTTGACACTGCTGGGGACAACAACAACAACAGAGGGGTTCGAGGCAGAGGAGCCAGAGCCGGTGGGGAGGGTCTGAAGGGTAGTCTTGTTGCGCGTGGTAGCAGCACCGATGATGATGGGTGTGGGAGCAGAGCTTGCGTAGGCAACCTTGGGATCAGTGACAATGTTCCAGACAGAGGAGCTGAAAGTGTTGGGAGCCTCGGGACCAGTCGAGTTGGAGTAAGAACCACCGGCATAAGCACCACTGGAAGAAGAGCCTCCAGAGCCAGCAAGACGACCACCGGCACCACCAGCACCACCCGTGCTGATGGGCATGGCGACGCCCGAGATAAAGGCGGTCGTCTGCGGGAGGGTCACGTTGGCCTTGGCGCCGATGCTGTCGTCGATCGAGTTGCCGCGGGGCTTGACGCGGCCACCGCAGAGCTGGGTGCTGTCACCGGGGCAAGGCAAGTCGCACGCGTCGGTGCTGACGCGCGTGTCGGCATCGAGCTCCGACGCGCAGTAGCAGGCCGTTTCAAAGACGCCGGCATACTTTTTGCCGTTGCACAGCACCGTGCACTTGTTGAGGTTCATGTCCGGGCTGTCGGCCACTTTTGTAAAGGACTTGAAGTCGCTGCTGGAGCCGAAGCAGCCCAGGTACGAAAAGTCGTTGAGGTTGGCCGGGTTGGCGCGCAGCGGCCCGCTCGGCGACGGCAGGCTGGCGGTGGGGATGGGGCCCTGGGTGGCGAGGACGGTGGAGGAGGAGAAGCGAGTGGAAATGTTGGTGATGAAGGAAGAGGAGTTGCTTGGGCCGGAGACGCTGGGCACGGAGGAGCTGACCACCAAAGAGGTGGGCGCGGCAGAGGAAGATGAGTTGGCCGCGGGGAAGCGTGTCATGGTGTCATTGTTGCTGCCAGAGGGAGGAGTGCTTGAGAGGGACGTGATGGGAATGCTGCTCGGCTGGCTCTGGCTAGAGACGGTGCTGCTGGTGAAGTTGCTAAAGGACACGGAGGACGTGGTGGACGTGTTGCTGGCGCTCTGGACGTAGGCGTCAATGTAATTAACATCCCAGTAGGCATTCGCAAAGGCGGCCGGGTTCTTGGCCACCCACTCTGCGCAGGTGGGCGCGAGCGCGGAGCATCCATCGCTCTTCCAGACAGCATTGCCATAGTCGCCGCAAAAGTTGATGTTGAGGACGATGCTCATGTCGCGAAAATGCGACTCGACGTCGCAGCTCTTGCCGCCGTAGACGGCCGCGGGCTTGCCCCAGCCGGCAGGCTCAGGCTTCTTGGCGGCAATATCGGCGGGCGCGGTGTCGCGGTCAAAGTGCCAGACCTTGATGTACTCGTCGTCCCACAACATGGCGTAGATGCCGCCGCCGACGGCGTTGAAGGTGTCGCCGTACGACGACGTGTCGCTCGCAGGGGTCACGTAGCCGCAGCCGACATTGTCGGCGCCGACGTTGCAGTCCTTGGTTTGCGCCGCGCCAGAGGCCATGCGCAGCACGTCGTCGCCGAGAGAGCAGCCGGCGGTGGTGTGCGCCGAGATGATGTTGCGGTGCGCCGTGTTGGCGCCTTCAATGATGTCAATCTCGCCGCTGTTGGGCCAGTTGGGTCCATATGCCCAGACTTTTTTTACGCAAAGAGAATGTTGTTAGCCAAAGAGGAACTCTGTGTAGTTTTTGATTTCTTCCAATTTTTTTTTCTTTTTTTCTTTTTCTGGTGTCATGACTTACAAGCTGGCCATACACCGCACTGAGACGGTGGCATGTGAAGAAAGTCGGCAACAAACAGGCCCTGGTTATAGGCTTCCTTGCTCTCGAGACGGATGCTTGGACGACCGTCCGAGACGTCAAGCGTATTGGTATGGTCGACGCCGATGCGCACGACGCCCGTGTGCTTGTCGACGGCAAAGAGGCCCTGGCTGGCGGCGTTTGCCTGGCTCTGGTAACGGACGTAGCCATTGGAGAGGTCCCGCGTGTCGATCCAGTTGAAGCCGTTGATAAGGGCGTCCCCGACGTATGAGGTGGCTAGAGAGTAAGCCATGACGGGCGGGTGTTGTGTCTGTGTGTGTCTGTGTGTGTCAAGCAGTCCTTTCTTTACTTGACTATCCCAGGGCTAAACTCGAGAGACTTGAAAGAGAGACGGGAGAAGAAAAGGGTGTCTAGAGTCCCTGGTAGTATGAACAGATGATGGTTCAAGTCTGATGAGAAAAGAGAGTCCGAGATTGATATCGTCAGGCCAACGGCAAGACTATATATGTGTCGATAGATATCTGGACCATGATCCGATGTGTGGCCACAAGCCAACGCTGCGTGGGCCTGGCAGCATCTTTGCTGGAATGGGGAGCTCGGCCAAGTGAGGCTGGCCAGCTATTGAAGAAACTGCCGTTTCCAAAGGCATTTTTCGGTGACAATGAAAAAAAAAGGGAGACGACAATGTTGAAAGGAAAAAATGGGCAAAACCACGCCACTATCAGGGTTGGAGGGTTGGAGGGGGGCCAGGGAGCATTCCAGTGCGAGGCCATTCATAACGTGCGTGGGCAAGGCTGCAAGGCGGCCAACAATGGGATGGCCACGCTAGCAAACAATGCGTCAATCTGCTAGCTCATCAGCAATTTTCGTTTTTGTCAGGAACAAGGAGTTGAGACAAGGTTTTATGCGGTCCGGAAGCGGAAGTGATGAAGGGTTCGCTTCGCCCTTGAACCAATGGCAAACGGGGTCGCCAGGTCAGTGGTGTATCCATCGTCTGCATGTCTTGGACAAAACAGCCCGTCCAAATGCGGGCAAATCGAGTCTTTGTCAGCAAACTGCTGTAGATTTTTTGGGTAAGACATTAGGGTCCTCGAATCTGTTCCGCCGCCCTTCTAGCGGCGTGCGCAGCCTCATACCCGTGCCTGGCCGGGATGAAGCTTAGTCGCCAACATTCCAGAAACCACTTGTTTGAACCCTCGACGCCGGTCCCTGATTGGCTCACGACCCTTTTCTGCATGCCTCAGCGAGGGCGAGGGCAGGCCCATCCCTCGGCAGCACACTTCCGAGTCTGTACTGAATTTTCTTCCATTTGTTATTATACATGCTAGGGTATAAAAGTCGAAACGCCGTGAGACATGCAAACACCCACCCGGAAAGAAAGCAGAAAAAGAAAAAGAAAAAAAACTCGCCTCAGGTACAACTTTATCTTCTCATTCCCCCAAATCCGGTAAAAAAAAATCACATCTAGACTTCTTTTTCCTGTTTAAATCCCGTTCAGGCACGAATGCAGTGTGAGCTATTAAAAGCCCCTCCCTCCCCCCTCCCCCCTCCCCCCTTGATCCTCTTTATCAGTTTGCCCGGCCCACGTGCTGCCCGTTTCTTCCCAGTTCCGGATCGCCAAGCCTTTCGACAACTATATTCAAAAAAGCCCCATCTCGCAATCTTACACCATGATCCGTCGCAATCCCTCCGTGCCGCCCAGGACGCGCCGTCCAGTCACGGCGCAGCGACCCTGTCCGCTCTCCCAACTGCCGGCCTTGCCCTCCATAAAGGCCTCCTGCTTGGGATGCATGCCCTCGATCCACCGGTGGATGCACGTATAGCAGTAGACGACGCCCGTCTGGCACGCTGTCGGCGTCACGATATCCTCTGCGCAGATGGGGCAGCGCGACGAGTCTCGGGGAAACGACACGACGTAGACGGGCAGCCGTGAAGGCTTGGCGAGGGGCGCGTCCTTGGCGCTGATTTCCGTTTGCGGCGCGTCGCTGGCCTCGCCGTCGTCTGCTAAAGTGACAGGCTTTTCGTCTGTTGTTGTTGTTGTTGTTGTCGTCGTTGTTGTTGTCGTTGTTGTTGTTGTTGTTGCTGCTGTTGTTGCTGCGGGGTTGGATTTCCTTAAATGCTTGGCCCAAAGACCGGAAATGATTGGAGGGGGCAGTTCAATGTTCTCAGTCGCCTTGCGCGAGAGCTGCTTGGCAAAATCCGACTGGTACCACCACTCGAGAAACTTGAGTGCAAAGATGCTCATGGGCAGGGCTACCGACAGACTCGAAAGCACCGTGGAGCCTAGCCGGCGCGGCGACAAGAGCGACTGCCCCGGTCGCCCATCGGCCTTGGCCTTTGCCGTCAGTGCATCAATGGCCTGGTAGTCGGCGCTCGTCATGCGGCGGATACGGGTGCCGATGAGCCACATCAGCGGGTTGTGATATTTTGTCCGGTCAAAGAGGTAGCCCAAGTTGAAGGCCAGCATGGCAAAGTAGTACGCTGCATTAATAGAAGGGTATATGTTGGTTAGAAACCATCGGTAGTAGTGGACAAAGCGGTCGCGCAGCGTCGGATTATCGGGCATGCGAGTGTAGGCGGCGCCGAGCAGCGCGCGGGGCGCATTCACCTCGTAGCCCTCGTCGAGCTTGCGCTTCAGATACGGCACGCCCACCAGGACGGCCAGGTTCATCCAGACGTCTCTGGCGGTGAGCTTGAGGGTGTCGCGGACGAGGTGCGGCGCGGCCAAGCTGGCGCGGGGCACCTCGGCGCGGAGGGCCTTTTCGCGCTTGAGGCCGTAAAAGTGCTCCGTGAAGGAGCCGCCGCGGGTGCGCAGGTAGTGGCGCTCGACCAGCAGCATCAGCAGCGCGTAAATCTCGTCAAACGAGTTGAGCAGGCGCAGCAGGTAGCGCGGGTGCCGGTGCGTGGCGACGGTCAGCAGGTAGCGCAGCGTGGGCGGCAGCAGGCTGCTGAGCTGCTGCTCCGAGAGCACCTCGAACAGCGAGGGCTTCTGGTCGTCAAAGGTGCCCCGGAGGGCCGTGACAAACTCCATGGCGGCGGCGGCGGCAGCAGCAGCGGAGAGCTAGCTGCTGTGATGTTTTTTCGATGGTGTTGAGGGGGGCCAGGTTCGATGATGGTTGATTTGCATCGGAGTGGGCCGATGCGCAACTGGCCGAGGGCGTCGGAAGCCGCGGCGAGAGCAGCGCACGGGGAGTAAAGTCGCGAGGGAGCTTTAGAGGTGGTGATTGGTCGTCGACTCGTATCAGGGCATAGCTGTAGAAAGGGCCTCGAGGTGGTGATGGAGGTGGAATTGATGAAAAAAAGATGAAGACTGCGTGGGCCTGCCTCATGTGAAAAGAACCTCGGCAGTCCTACTGGACCAAAACTAAGCTACCTAGCTACCCTAGAGGCCTGATGTCACCGTAACTGGCGGCAGTCCGGACATTGGTGCAATGTATAGGTGCCGAAAGGCTGATTTGCGAAGCAAATGTATCGAGGCGATATTTCAGCCGCCTATAAGTGTTTCCAAGCAAGTCCACTGCAGAGTTGCTACATCGCCAGATACTCAGTAATAACTTGTGAGCAAGCATGGATTCGTTTAGCGTAATTTCCTGCTCCCCGACATCTAACTACCAATACCCACTAAACTTGCCTGCGAAAGGCTTTTTTACCCCCGCATAATACAGCGCCGTTCCCGCCTGGAGAGCCCGCCCGCGGGCCCCCGGAGCAGCCCCGTGAAAACCGGGGGAGACTCGGCATCCCGAGGCTCGTGGCAGCCACTCACATCGGCTGCCCTCTGTTTTGGCGATGCCTTTGCGCCTCGGACACGCCCCCCTTTTCCCGTTGCACTTTTTCCTTGAATCCTACATTCAACCAAACTACGCCGCAACATCAACCGCGCAGACGTTCATTACTTGTTCTGACTAAATACAACCACCAATTCGTTCCGCGCCCACCTATTGCCCACCTACCTCGGCTGTCGCTAAAGTAGCTCGGTTATATACATTTCCACGATCGCACCTATAAACAGCACTTGTCACCTCACAACTCGATCGGCTTGGATATTAGAGACAAATATTAGACACAATGGAAATCACAGGCACGCCAGAGGAGCGCGTCCAGTTATTTCTAGACTTTGCCTCCAAAAGCGACAAGGTAAGACAACTGTCCAAGACAACCCCCCCCCGCCCCCAAAGAACAACACGACAAAAGCCCTCGCGTCCCCCCCCCCCCTCAACTCCAAGCTGACCAGGTCCCCTTTCCCGCGCGACTCTCCAGAACTGGCAGAGCCGCATCTCGCCCTACGTCAAGCTCCTCTCCGTCGACGCCTCCGCGCCGCACCCTTCCGTCGTCTTCTCCTTCACCGTCGCCGAGTGCCACAACAACGCCAGCGACAACATGCACGGCGGCGCCATTGCCACGCTCTTTGACTGGGCCACGTCCATGCCGCTCGCCCTCGTCTGCAACCCAGGATACTGGAGCTTCATGGGCGTCTCGCGCAGCCTCAACGTCTCGTACCTGAGGCCCGCGCCCGTCGGCACAGAGTGCGTTGTCGAGTGCGAGATTGTGTCGGTCGGCAAGAGGCTGGCCATGCTGCGCGGCACGCTGCGAAGAAGGTCGGATGGTGCCATTTTGGCCATTTGTAACCATGACAAGGTGAATACGGACCCGCCCGTTGGAAAGTTGTAGAGAAGGGACAGGGAGAAAGAGAGAGAGAGGAGGGGGAGGGGGGGGGGGAGGGGAGGAGGAGGAGGAACGGTA